CTGTTGAAACAATGTAACTGGGTAAGTCTGGATTGGTTTTATGAATTTATATATATCTTGCTTTTGTTTATTTACCATCATGAGATACGCTAAAAGACTACATGGCTTTCTGTTGAAACATGCTATTTACTTCTGTAAAAATTGAGATTCTGTGATTCGTAACATTTTCGTTCTTGTTTATTCATTTATGCTTGACACCGTTTGACACAACCAAAATTTCTTAGTTCCATAGTGTTTGATTAAAGGGCAAAGTTGTTCCTTTCCCCATGACAAAGGAAAAGGTAACGTAAATATGGGTAAATGTGATGAAACTCGTGTCATTTTGTGGGTAAACGTAGTCTTACTTTTGATTTTCATTCGTTTAGTTTATTTTAAATTTACTAGTTTAATTGAGTAATAAAATAGAACTAATTATTTTCCTGAAATAACTATTTTCTACAAAAGGTTATTAAGTAATAATAGAATATGGAGCTGTCGCATGCACCTTTTTCATCTGATAAACAAAATAAATAATTATACACTTAACAAAAAGACTGTAATTTCTTATTTCAAATCTATTTCTTCTTCTCCCCGCCTTCTTCATCTTCCTCCTCTAGAATTTTTTTTTTCTTCTCTTCCATTGATTGCTTCCTTTCGGGCACGGGAACGGCGGATGAGATTGCAAACAGCGTCGTTTTAGTGGGCACAAGAAGGCCTGTTCTTGAGGGTAACAATTCCCTAATAACGGCCGCTCAAAAAACGAGAATAGAGGAATCATCTGCACTTTACACTTCGAGAATAGAGGGTTTTTTGTATTTTGCACCCTATAATTTAAATTTGGCATTTTGTACCTCAAAAATAGTAATTTTTAACATTTTACACCCCATAATTTTAAATTTAACACTTTGCACTCCAAAAATTTTGATTTTTAACACTTTGTACCCTAAAATTTTAAATTTGAGCTCAAAATCTCCCAAAATTATAAAAAGTACACCATATATTTGATTGCTTTTAAAACTAATGATAAATTTAGAATTTCATATAAATAAAGAGTAAAAAGATTATAAAGAACTTAAACATTTCATTTATTTTTGTTATTTCTACTCTATTTAATAAACTTTCACTCAATTTATACACGTATCAACAGCATGTAAAAGATTAAAAAATTTAGTACTGTTTAAAATTATTTAAAATTAAAAATAAAGTTTTGATAAAAAATATATAAAAAAATATTTGAAATTGCTATTTTATTTCTGAATTTGTTTAGATATTTTATACAAAAATAATTATTTGAAGTAGTTATTGTAATTTTTAATTTGTCTAGTATTTTATATATAAATAATTATTAGTTATTAATTTGTAACCACTTCAAATATTTTTTATCAAAACTTTATTTTTAGTTTAAAATTTTAAAATTTTGAACAGTACCAAATTTTTTAATTTTTTACATGCCATTAATATGTGTATAAATTGAGTAAAATTTTATTAAATAGAGTAAAAATAAAAAAATGAAAGGTTTGTGTTTTTTATGATTTTTTTACTCTTCATTTACAGAAAATTCTAAATTTATCTTTAATTTTAATGAACAATCAAAAATAAGGTGCATTTTTTATAATTTTGAAAAATTTTGGGATGCAAAGTGCCAAATTTAAAATTTTGGGATATAAAGTGTGAAAAACCATTATTTTTAGATGTAAAGTGCCAAATTTAGAATTATGGGGTGCAAAGTGCCAAAACCCCCTATTTTAGAGGTGCAAAATGCAAATGAGTCGAGAATAGAGCCATCTTGCGATTTCTAGCATTATCGAGAGAGCTTGTTCACAAATGGCCTCCTTTTTTGTTTCTCAAATTTTTAATAATTTGTACATTTGAAAACAAAAAACACTGAAAATCAATTGTTTTCTTCGCATATTCTTTTTTGGCAGTGAATAACTTATAGCAATTCTAAAAATATTTTAAGAAAAAAAAAACTATTTTCAAAAACAAATCCAAACAAATCGTATTAGATAGGGACGGTTGACCTCATTGGTGAGTGAAGATTTGACGAAATTTTTATGAAATTTTCAAAAAAACTATTTATTATTTTCTAAAAAGGGCTTACCTTTCTAAAATCATCCCCATGACAATTTCAATTTCCAAAATAACCTGACAGATGGGTTTGATAGAAAAAAAAAAAAAAGAAAAGAAAAGAAAAAACGTTTTCAAAATTCAAAAATTTAAACGGTAAATCCTTTACATAACTAGCAAAATAAACATTTACTTCAGGGTAAATTCATGTATTTAAACATTTAATATATACAGATTACTGCCTACCAGGCACCCTTTTCGAATTCCACCTGTTGTATTGTGAAGGAACTTACAATGGAGGAGATTAATATGGCCTGGAATGTGTGTCATGTTTGTATTTATAATTAGGGTTTAAAGAGAACGATAAGCAACAAATACAAGCCTTAAAACCCTATGCAATCAGTACAAAATTGAAATAAAAGAAAAGATTGGGGAGCAATTGAGAATTAGCAAGAAGTTCAACTTCAACAAGATTAAAAAGTCGAGAAAATAACTCAAAATAACTATTCTTTCTATTTCTCTCAAATTACTTGAGTACAAATATATATTAATAAATAATAATCACTATGTAATCCAGACCAAGACAACCGCCGTCCTGGCCTCCACTTCCACTAGGGGGCGCGGCCTCCACTTCCACTAGGGGCGCGGCCGGTTGGCTTTCAGTGGGACTGGGATCATCTGGTTTTTCTTCCTCTTCCAGGTCGTCCAAGCAAGCGCTGACCGAAAGCACAACCACCCACATGACACCAATAGCGGTATAAATTGCTTCAGATTCATCCATCTTGCTTACGACTTCACCTCCGAGGATTCACAAACTCCTTAACTATACATGTGTATATATAGAAAAATTTTATTTATTTAGGAGTGGAAGGTAACGAAGAGCTGCCATGCCTGAAGATTCGCACAATAAGCATATAGATTTAATTAAAACCATAATGGATATATTAATTAATTTTAGTAATTTCCTAAAATAATTTTGGAATGGGGTTGAGATATGAATATGTTTTTTTTTTCTTTAATAGCATTGCTTACTTGGTTTACCATAAATATATAAATAATAACAAGGTGTTTGCTTTCTCTTTTTTTATAGTAGAAAAATAATTTTATTTAAAAGAATAATAAAAGGATATTTTAAATATATATATATATTTATTTTATACGAAAATACATATAAACAAGAATATTTTTAATAATTAATTTCTGTATTCTTACTGCATGTTCCTCAAATGAATGGTGGATGAAAAATAAAAAAATAAAAAAATTATGCAAACTAGTAAAATTAAATTCTTAAAGAGTTTATAATTTATTTGATTTATTTTTTTAAAATAGCGTTTAGTATCATAAAATGATTTTTAATAAAATAAGAATAAGAATAAAATGGAATAAAGATTTTTAAGTATGTTTAGTATACACTGATAAAATGAAAATTTTTATTCTATTATACTATGGTTGGTGTGCTAGAAAAGAAGTGAAAAAGAAAATAAAAAAAAATTATTCAAAGATACAAATATTATTTATTAGAAAGATTTAAAAATTAAAAATTAATTTCTAATATATTATGAATATATTAAAATTTTAAAAATTTATATTCTAACAATAAAATATTAAATTTCACACATATATAAAGAATATAATATACTGTATTTTATTATATTATATATGCACATATATATTGATATATATAATATATAAATCTATAATATTATAAATACTTATAATTTTTAATATTTACTGGATGATTTTTTCCTTCAATAAAAAATATAAGACAATATATTAATTATACAATCAAGTGATAGAATAGATCTAGATTTCAGTCATTTTAACATTAGAATTTAGATTACCTTATTTAATAAAATCTTAATTTCTTAAAAAATATAAATTTTTATTCTAAAATACTTACCAAGCATAATTTTTCAAAATTTACATTTCTATTTTTATTTTTTCCAAAAAAATTATTTGTAATATAAGCGGTGAGTTTTATTTTTTATGTTAAATAAAACGGTAAAATAATAAAAATCAAGAATTAAAAAATTTAACTTTTTGAACGTATTCAAGCAGTAGCAAGGTACCCAGCTGTATCAGATATTTATCAACCAAGGTGGTAAACTCTGACTCAATCCGCTAACCCAGTTCTAACCCTAACCCTAACCCTAACCCTATTCCTATCCCATATGTGAAAATCGGGTCTGAGTTTTTATTTTTATTACTCGACCCCGAACAACCCGAATGTGAACTAACCCAAAAATTTTTGTGTTTTATTGAGTTGGGTCATTATCAAAGACTTTTTTAAGTACATTATAATTTCAGTAAATTCAACTTCTTATTAAATAAATTAATATAGGTAACATTTGTAATTAACTAAAAAAAGTAATTAGAAATAAAATTATGAAAAGAAAGTTAAAAGTATAAAATAACTCACAAAAATTATTTTTATAGTTTTGCAAAGTTTATTTAGTTTTTCTCTTCTCTCTCTTAAAACAGAGGTTGTAATCCAATCACACAAATGGTTCTTGAAGATTTTATTTTCAATTGTAGAAGGAAAAAAATTTTCTTTGAAAAAAATACTTAATTTCTTCCTAGTCGTTTTGTTTTTTTTTTGTTTTTTTTTTTTAATGGGCTCTTCCTACTGTAATAACATCCAACCAAGATGGTCCCTTTCCTCAAGCACTTGTGAAGATCAGATTCCCCCTTCGCCTTTGGCTCTTTCTGAGTAATGGCTTGTAAATTGCAACCTCCCAAGAGGAACTCATCATGTACTCGTGGTAATATTACCTCCACGTATCGTCATGTGAACCGTTGATTCCCAATCTCCCTCCAGAGTCGGGGTCTTCCACTTCGATTTTTCTACCAGTACCAGCCATCAAAAGCTTCCTATAAGTTGTGTGGCCACGCCCCTCACCCTTTCCCCAAAATCAAATCCCTTACTCTGCGGACTCGGTTGCTAATCGATACCCATGGCAGGTCCTCTGCAATTGCTGAAGCTCTCGTTTCTGCTCAGTCTGGTCTCGAACTGGAACTGGCACGGAAGTCAGAGCGGCGGCAAGGCTGGCATATTCCCGCCGACGTGCAGCCGTATCGAGTGCCCGGGATACGACGTTGTCGAGGACGGGAACGGCTACGAGATCCGCCGCTACAACACCACAGTGTGGATGTCGACTTCGCCAATTCAGGACATCTCCCTCGTCGAAGCCACCAGAAATGGCTTCTTGCAGTAAGTCCCCCCCTCTCTCTCTCTCGCCCAATTTTGAAATTGATAGAACTCGAATTGGGGCTTGCCAAGGAAATTCGTGTGGCTAACTTTACACTAGTTTTATGCAAATATTTCATTTGGTACTTCTGATGTTTCAGAAATTACAGTAAATACGGTAAATTCATAGTTTACATCTTGCAAAAGGGCTACATTAAATTATACCGACCATCTTGACATATGCTTAGATTAGTATGCTAGTCCCACGTTTCAAGAATTACACTAGTCTCTGATCTGGGAAAAAGAACAAGAAGTAGAAAAATCTTACCCTTTTCTACTTGATAGGCTATTCGATTACATTCAAGGGAAGAACGACTATAAAAAGACGATAGAGATGACGGCGCCGGTGATCACCCAGGTGGCTCCAAGCGACGGTCCCATCTGCGCCTCCTCGTTCGTGGTGAGCTTCTATGTGCCCACAGAGAACCAGGCCGACCCGCCTCCGGCGAAGGGCCTCCACGTGCAGCGGTGGGCGCCGACGTACATCGCAGTGAGGCAGTTCAGCGGGTTCGTGAAGGACTACGATGTCGCGGAGGAAGCAGCCGCCCTGCGGGCCAGCCTGGCTGGCACTCCTGGTCGGAGGCTATTGACAAGAGCCGCGCCGGTGATAGCACGGAGGAGTACACGGTGGCGCAGTATAACTCGCCGTTTGAGTTTCAGAACAGGGTGAACGAGATATGGCTGACATTTGACCTGGAATGGGCAAGAGATTAATGAAGTGAGGAGGTTGCTATTACTACTTGTATATTTACTAGTTGTATATTTTCAGTTGTCTGAATAATGTTGAGTTGAGACTAGATCCCAGAGGGACCCCCACGTGGAAAATGGAGACTTCTGTTGTATTAACTTTTTTAAAAACAAAAATAAAAAATAAAAAATAAAGTAGCATTTTTTCTGCAGGTTTTATTGATTTGAAAATATTTAGAAGTTAATTGTTCAAAAATCCTGATTTTACTTGACCTTTTTATATCAGTAATTAATATGTATTAATTATCAAAATAGATATTTTGTTAAAAAAAAAGGACCTAAATATATAACTTTTGGATGCTTGAGAAGTTGGTTCGGTTGGAGAAACCACTTCCTCCTGTAGAATAATCACTTCCTCCTGGAGAATTAATTATATGTAAGAAAGCACTTTCAAATAAGGGGCTCTTCAGTTCAGTTGGCGTGACAAGATAAGATAAGATAAATATATCTTGCTTTATCATACATTTGCTTCGTGTGTAACAAATTATAAGAAAGGATATGTATAAGTGGATATGAGATAAGTCATCAAGACAGCCGGTTTGAATAAATTTTATCAGCGTGTAAAAATTTTGTTTTCAGACATAAATGCTCTTATACAATGCCAGAAATACCATCACTCTCTCCCGTTCGGATTACACGTGAAATCAGTCAATCTCCTCCTACCAATCTCTGGTTGCAGTTTCGGCTCTGCTTCCAACAACGATGATGAACATTGTTTCAAATTTGCTTGAAGTTTTGGCTACAGTTTCGACTGTAGTTTTGGCATCGTGATAACTGATTGATTTGATTCAACCAGGTGTCGTCGAACCACTAGAGGAATTTGGGCATGAGGACTGTTTTTGTGGTGGAGCAGACCTAGAGGACAAGCTTGAGACGAGCGTTGTGTTTGGTTCCCCTGTTTTGAGACGAGCGTTGTTTCGTTTTAAGACAAGCATTTCCCCATGAGCGCCTTTGACCGGTTCTCCACCCCCAACTGACGCTGCCCCCCCATTAGACCCACCGTTAGAAGTCGAAGCATTCGATTCCCGACGAGTCCATTTGGCCGGATTTTGTTTAGTCTTGTCCAAATCGAAGATAAGCCCTTGAAATCGGAGGTCTTTTTTTTTAACACATATTATCACATAGAGACTTTTTAGTAAATTCAGAGTTTTATTCTACTGGTCAAAAGTTTTATCCAATTTATTATCTGTTGAACCAAACGTGTGATAAAACTATTTAATTCAGATAAATTTATCCAGTTTTATCTTATTCCTTTATATCTTATCCTCCCATCCAAACTTTCTTAAGTTGATACTTCCTAAGAAAGTCGATTTTGCTTAGACAACCTAGCCAGTCCACACATAATCAAATTTAGTTAGGCGAGAAACATAGGGCCAAATAGGTACATCGATGGGTCAGATTTTGATCAAATTAGGCGTATTTGAGTTCGAGTTTGAATTTGATTAATTATTATTATATCCAAATCTGATTTGAAATCTTATAAGATTTATATTTGTTAACTCATATTTGAATCTGATTGATAATCAAAATTCCATATGAAAATCTGATTCGATAAAAAAAATAATCATCTGTTGCATTTAAATCTCTCAACTTTATTTCATTAATCATGATGGTACTTGAATTTTTTTGATTTTCTCAATTTAATTCCTACAAAATTGAATTTACTAATACCATATATGTAAGTTTATTAATTTAATTAAAAAATATTATTAAATTTTATATTTGAATTTTTAACAAATAGGATTTCTTAATTCCATATCTAATTTACTTATTTCAATTTACGGATATTTATTATTAGTTTTAATCTAATGAATATTTTAATCAGATTCGAATCCTAAATTTCGGATCGAATTTAAATTGAATTCAAATTAAAATCCAAACAGTTGACAATTCTAGAAACAAAGAAGTAAGAGAAGGAAGGGGGGAGGAAGAGGGTTGTGGGAGTAGTAATGGGAAATGAGGATTAATAGGCAGCATAAGAGCAACGGTGGCAAGGAGCAGCTCTAGGGAATTTGTTGGCAAAAATCAAGATACTGATTCTAGTACCACAAGTGATGAGTCCACATGCCTTAATCAACGAATCGCCGGTAGAAGCATAAAGATGAAGCGGCAACCTATTTCCTTGTTGATGGAGTAGTACTTGTTGGTGTTGAGATCCTCGACATCGATGTTAAGGAAGCAAAGGTGGACGATAAGGGCATCCTTCAAGTCACCTTGAAGGAGTCGGTGCTAGCAACGATCATCATGGGACAGCATGGTCCACTCACATGCCATCTACCACTTCTCACTGCTTGTCATTTGCATTGCCCTCTCTTCTACCCCATTCCTTCTCTTACTTATTTATTAACAAATTGAAGTTAATATATCATGGACCAATTTCTTAAGCTAACCGAACCAATCTCTTACATGAGATTGATCTTTCAGCAACTAACTTCTGTATATAAGTTGGTTTTCACTGAACTAACTTCACAACTAGTCAAAAATTGCATATTTTAGTAATTTATTTTTAAATTTACCTATTTTGATATAATATACACACACATTATTGATATCAAAAACCAATTTTCTTTTCCAAAAAGTTCCAAACATTTCTTTTGATGCTAGGTGTTCGGTGAATTATAAAAAAAGTCCGACATTTGATTTTGTGAGTTCCATGACTTTGATGGGAAAAGCTATGCAATCAAAAAAAATTTATTAAATAAATCTTAGACTTAAATCAAATAAATCTTAATGAAAAATCCATTCCAAGTGGGGATTGGGATCCTACTCCTTGGATTCAACCAAACAAAAACGTAATTGTAAATAAGCTAATTCTGCCCAAACGAGACATGGAGAGCTATTGAGCTAAACGAAAGAGGTACCAGAGAGAATAATAGGCCATTCTTTTACAATCTTAGAAGTACACGACTCTGTTTTAGAAATCAGAATTCTATACATATTATCCTTTTAAACAATATTTCTGAACTATAAACTCTAAAAATTGAAATATTTTACTCTTGAAACTGAGTACAAGTTTCAGAATGTACTCAATTTCTAAAGTATACTATTCCACTTATATTTAAAATAAAAATTTATATTATGTACGATAATATATTATACATTTTATTATATTAAAATATATAATATAATACATTACATATATTATATTATATTATATTAACACACACACATATACATGTATATGTATTATATATTATATATGTATGCATAAAATATATAATTTTATATAATGTACTATTTTATTTATTATACATATGCACGGAATATACACATACACATATAATGTGTGTGTATTATATATATATATATATATCATCTTTGATATTTTGACTATTTTTCACATTAGTTTTTTGTATTTTAATTTTGTCAATCAATCCTATATAGGTTACTTAATTTATTTTTTTCTTCATTTTAACTTCTAACGTTCTATTTTTTTACAAAAACATTTATTTCAAAAATAATATATAAAAAAACACAATTCTAAAAATATGTTTAAAAAGTGTATGATAAAAGAATAATATCTTAGTTACTTCTAAAGTAATATACTCTAAAAGTATGTCTCAATTTTAAAAATATATGTTTTTAAGGTTGAAAAATAATTGCCCCTAAAATTTTTGACTTATTGAGTTTAAAAATTTAGAATTCTTTTAGTTGTATAATATAAAAATAATATAAAAAATGAAAATCCTGATATCAAAAGCAAAAACTTATGTTTTTAAGGTTTCAAAGTAACTGCCCTTAAAATTTTTGACTCATTGAGTTTAAAAATTTAGAATTCTTTTAGTTGTGAAATATAAAAACAATATAAAAAAAATGAAAATCCTAATATCAAAAACCCACCAGAGTCTATAAAAGAATTGCACCAAGCAAGGTCCACCAGCAAACAATTATTATTAGAATTGTTAACAGGTTAAATTTAAATCAAATTAGATAAATTTGAATTCAAATCCAATTACTGATTTGAGATTCTGTTGAATCCATATCTAATTCCGAAATCTAATAAAAAAAAAATCTGATCTAACAAGAAAATGATATTCTATTGTGCATAAATTTTTCAACTCTATTCTATTAATCATATTGATCATTAAATTTTTTAATTTTTTGCATATAATCCCTATAAACTTGAATGTACTAATATTATACTTATAAAATTATTAATTTAATAAAAAATTATTAAAATTCAAATTCAAATCTTTAATTTCGGATTACTTAATTTTATATCTGGTTTACTTATTTCAAATTACAAATATTTATAATTAGATATTGTCCATAAAACATTTTAATTGAATTCGAATTAAATTCATATAGAATTTAGATAAAAAATTAACCCATTGGTAGCCCTAACTAATATGTCCAAGTCAAGTTTATCAAAAGCAAATTTTTACTTAAAAATATTTAGATTATGTAAAAATAAAAGTGTAAAAGTAAAGTATAAAAAAGAAAATTTTACTTAATATACATGAAATATATATAATTTTATAAAATATAAACATGATTAATATAACATAAATAATAAATAATAATAATTTAAACTAAAATAATAAAATTATAAATAATTTAAATATGAAATTAACATGAATATAAGACCAATAAAAATTATTGAGAATTAAATTAAATTAATCAAATCACTTAAACAAAATAAGGCTAGAATAGTTCACCAATAAAAGTAGTCAGTAAAATAATAAATTATAAATTTAAATTTATAAGCGTAACAGTAACATGTAAAAACATGATTTTATAATTTTTATTACTTTAAAATGTAATTATAAAAATTTTAAATATAATTAAAAACGTTTAATTTAAATAAAAGTGTAAAATCGCATATTTCTATACGCGTTTTGTACATGAATGGTCCATGTCGATGCCATCACCTTCCGATTTTATACCTGTGCTTTTAATTAATAACAAAGAAAAACTCTTCAG